TTCCCTTCCCTTCCCTTCCCTTCCCTTCCCTTCCCTTCCCTTCCCTTCCCTTCCCTTCCCTTCCCTTCTTACCTATTTGGCCTGTCCCCTGTCTCCTTGCAAAGATCCCAGCTCAAAGGAAGGCCTTTTGCGTTGATTTGCTGCCCAGGCTGTGGCATCGACGAGGGTGATGTCCTCACTGTGACCTTCCAACCATGCGCCTTCCGTGTGACTGGTGCCGGAGCAATGGAGGTCCGGGCCAGTAGAGGGTTGGTTTCCGGATGGGTTTCCGGCTTGTGAGAGACTGTGCTCCGCAGATGGATGGCCTCATTCACAATGAGACACGTTTTGGTTCTCCGATAGGTCAATGGCTACTACGCGAAGTCTGAAAGAGTTCAGAACGGTGCACCAGTCTTCATCAACAAAAATGGCATCATCCTCTTCAAGCCGCTCAGACTTGACCATCAAAGTAGGCCACGCAAGACTCTGCCAATCATCAGTTTGAAACAATGTTTTTGACATTCCTTATTGTGCGGACTGCTACTGTAGATGTCTTGAAGCGCGATGTTGCTGTTGCCAGTTGATTGGCAACAACCGCAGAAAGGCCAAAAGGAGTGTTGTTGTTCTTTCCCCTTTTCCGGCTCTTGAGAAGATGGGCGCCATTCTTGAGATCACTTGGCCTGCGATGAGAGTGGGGCCTTGCCTGTGTGTCGTACGTAGACCCACCGAGCATTTTGGTGTGATCTGTGCATTGGTGCACATTGGGCAGATGTAGTGTCGAGCCCTGTGGACGCTTACGGACTTCAGATTTCTCATCCCTGGTCAGGTACATCATGAGACGGGGCACGCCTTATTGGTACTTCACTAAAGATGGTCATCCAGCTGATGACAGCAAAGGCACCCTGGCAGATCTAAGGGCAGATCTAAGGGTTGCAGTCCCCTGCATTGCATGATTCCACCAGGAGCGGGATGAGCAGCAAAACCCTTCGCGCTTGTGAAGGCCCTTGTCTTGGGCTGCGACAGGTGACTATTATCGTGTCCAAACTGATGCCGCTTCTCCTCCAACTGATGGCTTCTAGGCTGCCAACTTGGACTTCCAACATTTCCACAAGTCTCAGGCGAAACGAAGGTTGATGTGGTGGCGGGCTTGTTCTGATCAAGACCTCGATCATGTTTCCTTTCTTGGTTCTTGATTTGGTGTCCAAGATTTTGTGCTTGAGCAGGTGTAGGTGTCAGCAGCTGTGTCAGCAGCTCTGTTAGCAGGTCTCCACAGGTGTGTCAGCTGTGTTAGCATTTTGAACTCGGCGCTGAGGTTGGAACACCAAGAGTTGCCCACTCGGGACCGGAACGTCGGAGCACCCGGTGGTCACTGTTGTACAAAGGGAGGAATTTGTTGCAGGTGGGTCGAAAACACGAAAGAACGCGGTAGGCCCTTATAGGTTTTTTTCTTGTCTCTTCTTGTCCTTGGAATGCATGGCTCAGCTCTTTTTCTCAGGTGCCCGGCCGTGCAACCTATGGACGTGGAGTACAAGCCAAGTCCACCCCCAAATGGAGCTGTTGCGACGGATGAGGCTGACAATTTGGACCTCTTCTGAAAAGTGGAAGGCCAGGAGGAAGGCATGACAATGAACATGGATCCAATTCAGCCAGCGAGGAAAGAAACATACAGCACGGAAGAATCCTTTCGTCACTGGCCTTTTTGCTTCTTCAGTACATTGGCATAGTATGTCGCCTTCTAGCTTCTTGGCATGCTGGCTGGCAAGGCGAAGGGTTGGAAGACAACCGGGGCAGATGAGTCCACATGTGAAACCACCTTCGGGGGGCAACCATACACTGCCCCGTTGTTGCTCTCCGGAGTCGTACGGGAGTCAAGATTCTTCCGGAAGAATCGAGCCAATGGAAACTTAATAGCGATGGCCTCCATCCCACTAGCGATGGCCTCCAACTAAAAGTGATGGCCTCCAACCTAAAGGATCTCAGATCTGAAGTTTCTTTGCCCGTGCCAACGCTTTGCCTCAAGTCTTTGACCTGAAGCCAATTCGCATCTCTGACAATATGTTGCAAGCTGGTTGGAGGTTGCTGTACATAGAAGCATGTGTCTTCACGGTGCCCGGTGCAGCAGTGTTTTGTCTAGTGCTTGTCTCATCAATGTGTACAGGAGGCAGCCAGTACGTAAAAGGAGTGTTGCCTGCAATGCGTGGCGTGGATCATCAGTAATCATCAAACGGAACAGGTGCTGTGTACTTTACTTCGGGCCCCACCTGACGGGACTGCATTTGCGCCCTTTTCATACCTTACCTAATTATTGTCATGTACTGCATTATTCGTTGTTTTTGCTTCTGGCCGTTGCAGTAGTAGCCACAACTGTTGTCCATCACGCTTGTGCCGATTGTTGCACTTTCCACGGGGGTAGTAATTGGTATCACAGGTTCAACGTCAGACGATAGTCTACTGCAGGTCAAAGCAAACAGGGTCCCAGCAGTGATTTAGGGCAGTATCAATATGTCAAGATTCCCAGATGTACAAAGGTGGAACTGTTGTAGGATGCCATTCTGGACCAACAATCTGCACATCTCAACAAACAATTTGCATATGTCAGCTGATTGCAAGAAACGAGTTGGGTTGCTCAGCTAAAGTGCTGAGACTGTGGGAGCTTTGGTTCTGCTTTTGCCAATGTTGCTAGTAGCTTCTTGCTACTAGTAGTAATGCCAGAAGCTCCGTTTCTACTAGGTTGAAGGCCATTGCTATTAGGTTGTCGATGCTGGACTAATGTGGCAGGCTTGGACACGGGCTTCACCACATTTGAGGTGGGGCCGACGGAATGCGACGCTCTCTTCATGAGTCACTGTCACAGGTCCAGGAGCCTTTAGGGAGCGACTTCAGTCTATGCCGACGAAACAGCTTGCCAGATTGGCAGGACTTCTCTATATCTAGCTTAAATCATACCAGTGAGACTTGACATTGTTTTCAGCAGGCTGTTCATACATTCTCATGCTTCACAGGTGCTGAGTGTGCTAGAGTGTAAGATTTTGACGTGCCAGACGAAATGTGTGCGCTTGGTGCAGCCTATGGAGCAGAACCACTCAGCTTCCACCATAGGCGGCCTCACGAATGAGACCAATGGAGTGGGAGTGAGACTTGGGATGAGGTTTGGTGGGATGATATGGTGTGGCCTTGTCAATGGCGCAAGGTTTCCGATATTTCCGCACGTGTGGCTGGCCAAAATAAAGGTGTCAAGTCTAAACGTTGTCACTTCATTATCCTGATTCGTCTGCCTATTGGTTGATGCACCACCTTAGCATCCTACGCGTTGCGTAGCGTTGCATCATGTTGCAGCAGTTTCGTCTGTCGTGCGTATGATCAGTTTGCAGTTTGCGCAGCTTTTGGTACACTCGCAGGCCTGGACCGTTGGAATGGAGCAAGCTGGGTTGGAGGCCCAGATGCTCCATTTCAATATGAAATTAGCCCAGCTGGAGACCCCAATAGCAAGATACAAACCGGGACAAAAAGAAAAATCTGGAAACAGCTGCTGTTTTCAACACATCGACCATCTCTTCCTTGGACACCATCATCACATAACCGGGACACCATCACAAAATGACCAGGGCACCATCAAAACATGACCAGACACCGTCACAACATGACTGGGACACAAGCAAAACATGATCGGGACACCATCACAACATGACCGCGCCACCATCACATGATCGGGACACCATCAAAACATGACCGGGACACCGTCACAACACGACCGGG